GTTGCTTGTCGTTCGCCAACCTGTTGGATGTCTACACTCTGGGTGTGGGAGGTTTATTGCTTTGCCATACCTACAAAAGAAGCTCTGTGGCCGAATTGCGAGTGTTCATCAGCTGGCTCACAGGTGGGCAAAAGCCCGCGTCCTCCTAAGGGAGGTGACACAGGCCAGCCGGTCGTGCAACACCTATTCAAGCCCGGCAGACCGCCCCGCGCTGCTGCGTGACTGTGATCGGGTCCGCCGAGAAGAGCCCTGGGATACCGATCGTGTCCGTCTTCGCTCTGGCAACTTGCTATTTGCATCCTGCCCGGCGGCGCCCCGGTATGCCCGGTCAGATTCGGACAGTTTTGTCTTAGACCTCTTGTGCCTCTGACAATCGTTGCCACCCTCAGCCTGAGCGCTGCCGTCCTCGCAGACATCCACTTCAATATCCCACCGCACGGCCTTGCGCTTAGCAGGGCGTCCGGGCATGGTCGATTGCAGGGCATTTTGATGTTTTGACCTCAGCTCCTCTGCAAGCCATCTCCTCCGATGCGGAAGCTCAAAACGAAGCCGCCGCAAGCGACATCCGAGACCTTCACGACCTTATCACCCATCACGTCGAGCTGGAAACGACGCCCTCTGCCGCACGCGAGCCCCACGGTCGGAAGGTCCCCGACATCTCCTTTTGCTATGGCGAGAATACCCACGCGCCCTTCGTGGCCGAGATCGGGTACAGCCAAAAGAGCCAGGACCTCGCGAGTCTCGCGAGGAGCTACATCCTCAAATCCGGCGGTGCCATTCGGACAGTATTGACAGTTGACCTTGAACACCAAGAGCGGACGCAGCGCAAGCGCAAGGACGGGAATGCCGACGGGCAAAAACCACGGGCGGCATCAAGCGTCTGTCTGTACAGGCTGGGAAAACGCGTCCTGTGGGACGCCGTCTTCCGGGACGAGGAGGGCGTGGAACAGGCAGGCGAGCTGGACCTATGTCTTTCAGACTTTGTACCCGAGGGCAGCGAAAGACGAATAGGACGACAGGCGCTGGAGACAACCCCTATCACCGTGCCCTTTCATCAGCTTGCTGAGCTGCTTCGCAAAGGCGAGAGGCGCCAGGTGGCACATGACAAGACGCCGGAGCCAGAAGGGAACCGGAGAGCTCAAAACAGGGCACGGAAGAGGAAGCAGGTGACATTCGACTGGGACCTGCCCCCAAGCCCAGAACACGACACAGAGAGCCCAGAAATGAGCCCGGATGGACAGCAGTCATCTAAAAGGCGGCGGCTAGCACGGGCTTCAGGCAGATGCTCGGCGTCCCTCGCGCAAAGGCCGGCTGGGCCGGCGGAAACAGTAAGGTTAACGAGGTCTCATTCCCGTTCATCGGCTAGAGAGCGCAATGAAGGCATGACTATGCGGTCACGGTCGCGCTCAGCGAGGTCTGGCCACGATGATGCTTGAACGTTGTGTATGAGAGATCTAGCTTCTTTGAGGATAAGTATTTTGACTATATCCGTGCGACTACTGTAAGTGGATTTTGCGTGGCGTACGCGGGACAGCACAAACGACCGAGGGGCGGGGCCGGTTCATTGCTGCCACAGACATGGTCGACTCTGGAATCAGGCAGTCTATCGCCTTCGAGATCATAGGTGGCAAAAGATATGTTCTCTCCAACTAGAGACAAGCTTCATTGGGGACGATTCAGTACGATTGAAACAAGGAGGCGCGACAGGAAGGCGCTGGTGAAAGAA